GAGTAGTGTTTGTAGCAATTCTCGTACTTGGTCCTGCATCGAAGCTTCAGGACTATTGATACTTATCTCTGCATGGATTCTCTTATGGCTTTGGTTCTTCCCAGATCCATGTTACTGGTGGTGGTCCCTATATTCTTCTGGCTTTTGTGGTGAGGAATGCTTCATTTTTACATGTAGCTCACCTGAGACGAAGGCTCAAGTGAGCTTTGCTGATCACATTTTGTCCGGCGTCCGTCTATCTAGCTTTCTGTCTGTCCATCTGTCTGTCTGTAAAATGTTCACATTTTCGACTTCTTCTAAGAACCCCTGGACCAATTTCAACCAAACTTGCCACAAAGCATCAATGTTGCTAAGAAATTCTATATGCTAGTCTTTTGCTTTTGATTAATCATTTCAGTTGATGTATATAATGAATGTTGTGATGGTAAGCTTGAGGAAAGGTTGAAATATAAAGAAAACTACCTTGAACATTTTTAATTGATATTGCAGAGAAGTTGGTAGATGTAAAGTTTGAAGACCTGCTTCATTTATTACTGGTGCTGGAGATATCCCTGTGAATGGATTTGAATCGAAAATGTACAAGCATTTTTATGACAATGATGATGAGAAGAGACTTCCATTTTCCTCTACATGTTTTTTTTTTTTTTTTTTTTTTTTATTTATATTTTTTCTCATAATAAACAAAGAGATAGAAGAACATATTTACATTTATGCCTTACACACAAACACACTCACCCTTTCACACTATCCACTATCCATCTATAGATGATATTAAAAAAGAGAGATAAAAAAAGATAATAAATGAAAATTCAATTCGTCACTATTTCCTCCAACGCCTTATAACATTGTGCATAAATTATCTGAATTATACATATATTCTTTTATCAATATGCGGATAAAAGACAATAACAATAGTGAATGCCATCTGAACTGTCACTCCTCAAAAACAGGTTTCCATGTAGACCATATAGAATTAAAATACACAATTTTATTCTTTTGGATTGAAACAAATTTTTCAACATTATATTTGATTCTTAGATGACATAAGAGTGCATTGAGATTTGGCATTTTCTTCTGCATCAAACAAGTAAAGATATATTGTTTAGTGTATAATATAATAAAATTCACAGCTCTATTATTTTTTGACAAAGGAATCTCTCCTAATATAACATTATTAATGTTAAATCCGACCCTTTTTGAAGTAGCTCTATATATATGTTGGCTAAGACTACTCCACAATGCCAAAATATTATTACAAAATAAAAATACATGTTGGATTGTTTCACTTTCATTCTTACAAAAGGTACACAAATCAGTAGTTTTGATATTAATCTTTTTAAGATAGTAACCTACAGGAAGAATCCTATGCAGTATTCTAAACTGCAGCCATTGAACAGCTGTATCACTTGTTACTTTAAAACAAACTTTAAAAACATCATGTATTTCAAAATTACACTGCCCATAGATACTCAAAATGGAAATCCATTTTGATATAGATGTAGGTTTAACATTATTTGTGTTTAATATGGAGTAAATTGGCTTAGTGCATTTTTCTGACTGTAACAACAATTCATAATAAAAGGGCATAAGTGTATTGTAAGATTTTGTGAATAAGTGGTTGTCAATAGACATACATTTCAAATATTTTGATACTGCAGTAAGAACACTATTATATTGCATAATCTGCTTATTTGTATCCGTTTGTGAGAGGCAAAATCTTTTTTGTAAAGAATCAAAGCATAAAAATTTTCCTTCGCTATCTAAAAAATCTCCTATTACTCTGATACCCTTCTCATACCAATTTTTGATAAAAACAGACCGTTTGCCAACCAAGATATTAGAATTGTACCACACCGGGATATTTAAAAAATTACTTTTTACATGTTTACAATTATTTAAACACTTCATGACTTCCAGCCATGATTTTAATACATCTTGCCAGAAAAAATTGTTTTTAGGAAGTAAATGCTCTGAAATAAACAGATCCCCAAAATGAAATAACTTCTCCATAACATCTTTTCCATTTAATGCAAAAAAGAAATCCATCCATGGCTTTTGTTTTTGAGTTAACCTTTTCATCCAAGAAGATTTTAAAGCAATTATAAAATTGTCTAAGTTGACCATTTTTAAACCTCCAGAAAGATAGTCTTGTGTGACAAGGGATCGCTTTATCTTATCCGATTTGGATTTCCATATAAATTCAAAAATATCTTTTTGCAAATCAACTAAAAGCTGTTTTCTAGGAGATGGCAAAGAAATAAATAAATGATTAAGCTTAGGTAGGATAAGCGTCTTAACAACAGTTATGCGACCAATTGGAGTTAGGATTCTTCGCTTCCATTGTTTAATCAAAGCTCTTATTTTAGGTAGTTGTAAGTCATAATTAATATCAACAGTTTCTTTAAGATGAACTGAGAACTGAATTCCTAGTAAGTTGAAAGTTGTAGTTCCCCATTCTAGTTTCCACCTTGTGTGATGGAAAACTTCTTTTGAATACTTTTTTGATCCAATCCACACTATTTTAGTTTTTGATATGTTGATTTTCAATCCTGAAAGTTTTGAATAAAAATCAATGGTATCAAGAGCAGCAAAAAGGGATTTTTGTGAACCATCTAAAGCAAGAAAAGTGTCATCAGCATACTGAGATAATTTATGTTCTTTATTATCTACCACAATACCTTTAATATCCTTATTCTGTTTAATTAGAATTGCCAGAATTTCTGCACATAGAATAAATAAATATGGAGAAACAGGGTCACCTTGTCTGCAACCTCTTTGTATATCAAACTGATCAGATAAAAATCCACTTTGTAAAATAGAAGCTTTAAAATTAAAATTTAGAATCTTGACCCAATTTATAATCTTTGAACCAAAACCAAAATACTTCAAAACTTTGTATGTAAATGTCCATGAAATTGAATCAAAGGCTTTTTCGAAGTCAATCAAAACTAATAATCCTGGGATTCTTTTGGAATCTGTGTAGTGGATTAAGTCATACATGAATCTTGTATTTTCACCTATATACCTCCCTTTCATAAATCCTGATTGAGTATCTGATATTAAATAATCTAATGTTGTTTTAATTCTTTGTGCGAGACATCCTGATATTATTTTATATAAAACATTTAGAAGTGTTATTGGGCGCCAATTTTTTAGAAACTGTCTAGGTTTATCACCTTTTGGAATACATGAAATTATACCTAATCTTTGTGATATTGGGAGCTCGTTATTGATAAAAATACATTTAATTGCCTTAAGTAAATAAGCCTTTAAATCATTCCAAAAGAATTTAAAAAATTCAACCGTGTAACCATCACTACCTGGAGATTTGTTATTTTTCATATTTTTAAGCACTTCTGCTACTTCCTTTTCATTAATATCACACTCAAGTTTCTCAGATGCATGCTTATCTAACTTTGGGACATCTTGTCCTTGAATAATTTCTTCTAAATTAATATCTAAGAGCTCAGAATCTGAACTTGTATATAAATGCTTATAGAATAATTTCACATGATTTAAGATCTCTGCCTGATTATATATTGTACCCTCACTCTCTACTTCTACCTTTTTAATAGTTTTATTTAAAAAATTCCTGGCTTCTAAATTACAAAAATACTTTGTCGGTTTTTCCCCTTCTTCAATCCATCGAGCTCGTGATCTTATGATATGCCCCTGCAATTTTTCTTTTCTCAAATTTTCAAGACTCAGCTTTTTTTCTTCTAAAAGTTCAAAATTAATTTCTGTCATTGTTTCTAAATGTTCAATTTCCTCTAGTAATAATTTTTCTGAATTTTGTCTTTCTTTTTTTCTGAAAGATGAATAAGAAATAGTAACCCCTCGAATTTCCATCAAAAGAACTTCAAAAAACAGACTGTCATCAATTTGAACATTACATTGATTACCGTCATTATTTGGAACATGTAAATATTGGGCAACTACCTTTTCTATAGTTTCTTTTACTTTTCCAACATATGTTTTATCTGTTAATAAGCTGTTATTGAATTTCCATAGACCTCGCCCTCTTTCAAAAGAATTAAATTTTAATTCCATTATAACTGAAGAATGGTCAGACCTGTAACCAGGTTTAATAGCAAAGTTTTCAACCAAATTTGAAAGACTTTCTGAAATAAGAATATAGTCAAGGCGACCTTGTTTTAATGGATTTTTTTTCAACCAGGTATATATTTTTTTGTCTGGGTTTAAAATTCTATAGTAGTCAATTAACTGAATATCTTCCATAACCTCTAATAATTTCTCACGTGCTTTTGGGTTACTGACACTACGATAATTGAAAGTATCTAAAGAAGGGTTTAAAGCAAGATTAAAGTCACCACAAAGTAACAGATATTCATTATCAAATTCAAGAAAAGTTTCTCTAACTATATCATAAAATTCTGGATTATCAGAATTAGGACCATATATGTTTATGATAGTAGTTCTATTATCTTCAATTGTAATGTCTAATGCCAGCATATTCCCACTATTATCACGTTTTATACTGTGTATTTTAAATTCAAAATTATTATTAAACATTATAGCAACCCCTCTTGCATTAGATTTAAAAGAATTAAATATACATTTGAAACCCCACTGTGCTTCAACATATGGTTCAATTTCTGTAGTAAAATGAGTATCTTGCAGACATATAATTGAATATCCTTTTTTTCTGTAAAAATTTAAAACATCTAGTCGTTTTGATGGTGTTGCAAGGCCCTGACAGTTCACTGTAACAACTTTTATATTATCTGACATTAAATCTGTACAAAATAAAAGAATAATACTTAGACAAGGAAGCGGATGACGATTGAAGTATATAATTTTTGGAGAAATAAGCAACAAAACAAAAGAAAAGTGGATAATCTTCACACACATACCATGTCACACACTTTCGCATTCTCTCGCTTCAATCAATCCCGATCACAAAGTTTACTGCTTCCCGATCCCGATCTTAAAAGTTCTTGGAAGTTTTTCGTGCTCCAGCTGTTTACGCATAAATCGTGCTATTTGTGTTTAAGTTTGTCAGACACACTGTCCAGGATGTCAAATCGGTGTCTGTCTCCATCATAATCCAACGCAAACACTTTGCCATTAAAGTACCAGGCACTTTCAATACGCTCGTCCTCGTTCAAGTCTTTTATAAGTTTGGCGTTCATAGGAGTTACGTGATCGTGCATCACAAAGCGCTTCTTCAACTCCGCATTTGAGCGATTCTTTATGACCATCACTTTCGTCTCGGTATTCCTGAATTTGGCGATGACTGGCCGTGGTCCGACATTACCACCCGATCCTGGCACTCTGTGTATGGCCAGTATATCTGTTGGTTGTAGATCAACGTGAACTGTCTCCTTCAAGATTGCACAGAGATCTGCACGCAGATTTTCGTTTTTTTGCTCATTCCATTTGGTGAACTTAATATTGTCCTTTTGCGAATACTGCTGATTGCTGTTTGCTAAAGTAACTGCTGTTTCAGTCAAATATTGATAGCGTTTCAAATGTTCTTTTAGGGCCCTGAGTTCTTTTGCTTGCTCGTGAAACTTTTCTTTCAGTGTTTCAAACTCTAAATTAAACCCCTCTGAGATATCTTTAGTCTGATCTTGAAACTCCTTTGTTTTTCTGTCTATCTTTTCCCCGAATTCTTTCTTTACCTGCTCCGTCACGCTCTGTTTAACTTCAGGTATGAGTGACTCTTTGACTTCAGCGAGGATTTCATTTTTTAGTTCACCCTTTAATTCGGTAACGATTGAAGTAACCATTCCTTTTACATCATCTTTACTGACCATTATTCGCCTTATATCCGATATGCCTTCTTGTATAAGACTGAGCTCACCCAATGCACTATTGACACCACTTGTTGACTCGTAATCAGAACTGCTACTTCTTTGTTTTTTTGCGGCATTTTTTCCTGACACCACCGTATTTTTAATTGAAGCAGGAATTGACTGGAGGTTCAATTGCACCAACTTTCTGTCTGGAGTATTCTTGTCACCCTTAGCCTTTTTATCGATTCCCCCACTCTCTGATTTTTTACCATCTTTCTGCGTTGTAAGTGACATTGTAAGTGACATTGTTGACATTGTGAGTAGCTACTCACGGTACATAAGGTGTTGGAAAAATCACTGTTTCTTCACAACAAAAGTTTACTAATTTCAATTAAAGTTACTTGTACTTGTTATTAAACACGCTGGACAGTTTTGAACTGTTTTAAAGATCTCACACGATTAAAAGGACAAAATAAAGAGAAAAACAGCGGAGCTGGAAAAAAGCACTTACGCTCGGCTCATCACGTGACCGGAACCTTTTCCTCTACATGTTTATTAACCTTCAGTTTGCCCCGGGGCTGCTCCTGTGATGTGTTGTCAGCATTTGTTGTCAGCATTGATTGTTAGAGCATTGAAAGAGTCACAATGACTTAGTGTTTCGTGATGCTGTACCAAAACTAATAGATACATTTTCACAATACTGTCTTACTTTAGTATTAATTATAATTTGGACTTAAGGTTAAATTCGCCAATTTCATACTTGCAAAGTTGTGTACATCCAGAGACATGGCATCACGATAACAATCGCTGCTCCAGCTACTTTCGTTACTTCTAACCGATGAAAATTGTCCTTACTCTCTTATAAAAACTGTTGCGTCATATTACCCATAATGCAATATAATTGCATGCACAACTAAATTGTAGAACACACATCACAAGATTTCGAATATACATCACAAGATTATCGAACAAACATCACAAGATTATTGTACACACATCACAAGATTTCGAATATACATCACAAAATATTGAATATAAATCATAAGATTTTGAACATATATCACAAGATTATAGAATATACATCACAAGATTTCGAATATACATCACAAGATACTGAACATAAATCACAAGATTATAGAATATACATCACAAGATTTCGAATATACATCACAAGATTATCGAACAAACATCACAAGATTATTGTACACACATCACAAGATTTCGAATATACATCACAAAATATTGAATATAAATCATAAGATTTTGAACATATATCACAAGATTATAGAATATACATCACAAGATTTCGAATATACATCACAAGATACTGAACATAAATCACAAGATTATAGAATATACATCACAAGATTTCGAATATACATCACAAGATATTAAACATACATCACAGGATTTAGAACATACATCACAAGATTTTGAATATACAACACAAGATTATCGAATATAGCAACGTTTGACATGCCTTATATATTGTCGATATATTATTGTATTAAATGTTTGTTTAAGCATTTTATTATTTCTCTTTTATTTTTTCCACGTTTAAGTTCTTAAATGGTATCAAAGAAGGAATTCCTTTAAGGGCTGACTTCTTTTCACATATTTTTTCAAAAGTATTTAAACAGCAAGTTAATTTTCTCATATATATTTAAACTCGATCAGTAGAAAACAACATATGTGTTGATATCGGTTTTGAATTTAAAAAAATAATCTTATTTAATTTTCACCGCTTTATCTGAAAAAAAAATTAATATTTTTACGCTATATTAATGATGTCTGTGATTCTATATTATTTTCTGTGTTTGTATTTATTTTTTATTTGACGGTTAGACGACAGCATGGGACCACTAAGTCTTGTAAAGGTTATTGTTAAAACTCGTATGCGTGAATTCTCTTAGAAGGTATTGAAATCAATAGATTCTACATACAGAATCCGATTGAAATGGTAATAACAACAAACGTAAAGATTTTCGTTTCCTAACACGAGGTAAATTATTGACAAACAAGTTGATGAAACACGATTATCAACAGTATCGCTTGAAGTAATCAATTCTTAAGTCTTGTGATCGATACAATGACCTTGTCAGCAAATATAATATACAATTATGTCAAATGCTGACTGTTTTTAAAGTAGTTGGTAGACCATAATAGATTATTTAACATCAATGAGAATGTATGTGATACAATATCAGGAATGAGACAAAGACAAACGAATAAAATGACAAACATCACGATACACATATACTTTATGTGTAGTATAAGGTCATCAATTCAAACATAAATGTGCCTTAATTAAATCGATAAAGCACATAGAACATCAAAAGAAAAAGAAGCTTACACATCAATGTAGCTACCAATGTCTGTAGATCTACGTACATTTAACGAAGAAAAACTGCTTCACTGTTTATACTTTTTGTCATATATATGACAAAGTCAAAGACATTATAAGATACACTTATATTACAAGTCTCTATAATTAATTACAATATATAATATAACAATTTTTTTGTGTTAATGTTACTACATGTACCGGGTTATTATACCCGCACTTTCTAAAGAAAGTTCGGGTATATTGTTGTTACTCATGTCCGTCCGTCCGTCCGTCCGTCCGTCCGTCCGTCTGTCACACTTTTCTTCCCTGAACTCCTCCTACATTTTTCACAGTAGCTTAATCATCTTTTGGGAGATGGTTGGGTTTGTCATGTAGATGTGCAGTAAGGTTTCGTAATTTTGATTTTGCCAAAGGGGATCAAATGGGGGTCGAAAAATGACGTTTTTTATGCAAAAAGCCCGGTCTTCACTAAACTCCTCTTACATTTTACTCAGTAGCCTAATCATCTTTTAAGAGATGGTTGGTGGTGTCATGTAGATGTGCAGTAAGGTTTCGGAATTTTGATTTTGCCCCGGGGGGTCAAATGGGGGTCGAAGAATGATGTTTTTTTTTTTATACAAAAAGCCCCTTCCTCTCTGAACTCCATCTATATTTTACGCAGCAGCCTAATCATCTTTTAAGAGATGATTGGTGGTGTCATGTAGATGTGCAGTAAGGTTTTGGAATTTTGATTTTGCTCGGGGGGTGTCAAATCGGGGTAGATTTTTTTTTTTACATATATTTGATATGTTTAATCACCCTGCTTTCAAGAACTTCCCTAATATCTTATGCTGCAATAGCTTTAAACCATGACCATTTAAAAATGATTGGTTTGTTTTACGTATGTGTAAAATGGTTTCAAAATTTGAATTTTCATGTGGATGGCAAAAAGGGGCAGGAAAAATATGGCCCCTCCCTAACCCTGGGGGTCATGATATGCACAAACTTGAATCTACACCTCTTGAGAATGCTTTCATATTAATCATGCTCTTGTTGTTTTTGGAAAGAATAATTTTGAAGATGTGTTTCCTTTTATTTCTATATAAAACTTTGATCCCTAATTGTGGCCTGACCCTAGCCTTTGAGGTGATGATTTGAAAAACTAGAAATATGTCTATAGGACATGAATGTCCCGCCAGATGTGTGTTACTAATGGTACATGAAAATTTGTATTAGTGTATAAAGTTTGATGAAAATATCTTAAACATTTTTTTTCAGAATTGAAGCTAAAATATAAATAAATTGGATATACACTGTAGATAATACATTCTCATCAAATTATGTATAAGTGCATGCTAAACATCAAAATGTCTTAAATTATTTCTTTAAAACTAAGCAAAATACAAATTAAAGAGGAGGGAGGTCAAGGTCACAGGAATGTGCAAGATGAAGTTTTTGATGCAGCTGAATAGCTCTCACTAATACATATCAGCATGTTATGTTTGATAAAAATATCTTGAATGATTTAATGAAAGTGAGCTTAACAATTTTTTTTTCTAGAAAAGAGAGGACAAAGGAAAGGTTGGGGTCAAAATGTTGTTCTAGTTGAAAAGCGTACATCAGTGTGAATTTACTATTAGCATATGAAGTTTGATAAAAATATAATTAATGGTTTATTTAAAACTTAGATAAACACATATTTTAAAATGTGAGGTCAAGGTCAAAAGAAAATTCAAGGTCAAAATAAGTTAATGCAATAATAGCTCTCATCAGTATGTATTAGCATATGAAGTTCGATAAATGTATCTTGAATTGTTTATTCAAAACTGATCTAGTCTAAGACATTAATTTTGGAAAAGTGAGGTCAAGGTCACAGGAAATGTCAAGGTAAAAAAAGAGTGAAGCATTGTAAAGCTTACATCAGTACGTATCATCATGTGAAGTTTCATTACACAACTTGAATCATTACGGTTTCTTTAAAATAAAGCTAAACACTAATTTTAAGAAAAGTTAAGTTAAGGTCAAAGGAAAGTCAAAGTCAAAAAATATTGCTGCAGCTGGATAGTTTACATCAGTATATGCAACAATATATAAATTTTGATAAAAATATCTAGAAAGTTTCTTTGAGCCCGATGGAGGACAGATAAAAGGACGGACATGACAAAAACTATACATGTATTCCTAATCATGGCGTAGCATAAAAAACTTGAATCTACATTATATGAGGATGTTTCCATATCAAGATTATACAAGCAAATTCAAAGAATTGTGGTCCTCTGCTTTCTGTGTTTAAGTGAATGGGATGCCATAATTTATGGCAGATTGTGTGTCAAATATGCACCCCTATCATATGTCACTTTATGAAAATTAGGTCAAAGGGGGAAAATCATCGCATGCTCGAAATATTTTGTTGCAGGTAAAGTACATGTCAAATATGAAAGTCCCATCTCTTTTCAATCAAAAGTTATATATATAAATATATAATATAATATTTTTGAAAAGTAGGTTAAACTTCTAGGTCAAGGTCACAGAGTCAAAAGTCATGATATATTTAGAAAAGTCTTTTCACATGCAATATACATGTATAATTTAAATGCCATATCTCTTCTCTTTCAAAATGATTAATTTAAAATGTTATTTTTTGGAAAGTAGATAAAATTTTAAGGTCAAGGTCTCACTTGGGTTAAAAAATCATGGTACATTTAGAAAGTTTTGTGGTAATGTACATGTGAAATATGAAAGCCCTATCTCTTATTATTCAAAAGTATGACCAAGGTCAAATTTATTGTGACAGATGCACGTACTGTCAAAGATGGCCAGACTGACAGACAAATAAGATTTAATGTTCCCTCCCTTTCCCCCAAAACGGGGGACAATAATGCCCTTGCTGTTCTTGAGAAGAAGATTTATGATGGAAAAAATCCCCTGCATATTTCTTAATGCAAATCAGTATTGTGTTTTTATGTCATTTATTTGTTTGTTTGTTATTAAACATCCCTCTCAAGAATTTTTCACTCAAATGGAGACACCACCACTTGAAAAATAATGAGGACAAGTCAGATTTGAGGTCAACATTCATTTTAGGAGTTTTCAACCATTAAGACGTAAAGAGACATGAACTCGATCCTTCCCCTCACCCCTTCTCAGACCCCTGTTTATTCATGACAAGTATGCAAACTACTACTTGTTTTTACATTTAAAAAAAAAATTTAATAGCCTATATACAAATACTTTAATGTGGTCCATCTCTTTGAATGATTTTCATTCTTAATTCTAGGAGGATAGGTTGATGAATAAAATGTCAAGCAATCTTATCATTGATGCACTTTTATTTAATTTAATGCAGTCATATTGTTAACATTTCCAGCTAGAATCATTAGGAGAGTGGGGATGATCTCCAGGGGGTTCAAAACCTTTATACCATTAAATTTACATAACATAATAACACAAAAAGCAAAATTATGTATAGTCAAATGGAAAAAGTTTCCTACTATTTAGGAGTCACATGATCATTTGTCATTACTGTTTACAGGGACAAAGAGTGGATTGGGAGATCCTCCCCCCCCCCCCGAATTTGCAGGACTATAATATATACTGGAGCAAATAAAAAAGACTTTGGATGCCCTCCACCCTAGAAAACAGACACCACCATAACTTCTCCTTTTATTTGCTTCTCAGGAAATTCTGGTCTGGAAATCCCCCCTCCCTCCCAGAAAAAAATTCTGTATCTTGTAACTGAATGTAACGTCGATAACGGGCGATACTCTTCAGAATGTGAAATTCGTCTTTTTGCGGCATCGGATGACCTTTGATCCTTTAAACTTTAACCTAACCAGTTGCATTTTAGACTATTTTACCCTAATCTATACCAAAACTTGTACTTACCGACTGCCATAGGTCCTGTCAACTTGAAATATAATCCAATTAAAACACAAAATAATTCCTACTGACATACATGCAATGATGTGTACACAACACTAGTACTGCACGTGCAGTGCTATCTGAAAATGATAATGGTAAAACTAGTACTTAAGTTGGGTATGTGACGCAAGTCCAATGTGATGCAGATGTTCAGAAACATTTATAGTACATGAACAAATTTAAAATTATTATTTACAAAAGATGTTTTATCTTAACTTTGCCATCTAGGCCTATTTCCAAAATCAGGAAAATAGGGTGTTTGTGTGTGTTGATGAGAGAGGGGTGGGGGTTGACTAAATTGATTGGGTATATGGCAGCTTTCAAGGTGTTTCTGCCTAATCAAATATAAAAAAGTTTGTACATTTTGAAAAAAAAATCATCAAAAACGCTTTACACTAATTTGAATAATATTATTTGTAGTTGATCTATATGAGAAAATAGATGTTAAAAGTTCCAATTATGGGCCAAATATTTATATCCCCCCTTTATCAAACCTAATTTACATCATTAATTAAATTCTGTTGTTTAATTTCAGACCGGTAATGAATTACGAATATGAAATACCTATAAGATCGAGGCCGATGGATCACATGGTCACTTGAGAATATTATGCTCAATTTGATGAATACAAGGACGCCCTTTTATGTAAATCATTGAATTAAATTGACTTTTTCCTTGGTAAAGCCCAGTTTAAATGAGTGTGCATTTAGAGGCAAACACCTTAGTGCGGGTATTACTGTCTCATGACAGCATCTAGTAATTACTTGTAATAGGGGAGGAGAAAATTCTAGCGGACCAGACTGGGATTTGAACCCTGGCCCATTTGATATCAATTCAACTTTTCCACCAGTTATGCTCTTCTGGCAACCCGCAATCGAACCGGTCCAACGTCCTCTCACTTTATGAGCTAGTCATGATGATCGTCTGTGAGATTCTCCTTTCTCCGTATGTATCAATATACACTCACCCTGCTGTTATAATCAGTTATATCAGACTCCCTGATACATTTATCCTGTTTCTTTTGTTGAACAGTGATTAGAAGTGACCGTCTTTGTCAATCATTTGAATTGTTTTACTTTTAGCATCACACACCAGGATGTGTGACAGCGCGTCTACACAGATTCCTAGTGGTGATAGCCCTGATCCTGATGGGTGTCCTGTGTAGGAGAAACGATGTCTTCCTGTAGGATCTATCACCACTACACCATTGTTCATGTCAGAAACGATAACATCTCCATTATGGTTCTCCGTCATGTATTTAGAAAGTTTATATAGCTTTTTACTTGTGCTATCGTGTTCAATGATATGACCTTATTGTTCTGAACCATTCATGTCATTCCGCATTACTTGAGCATCTCTTTAAACATATTGATTTCTATCATATCTCACTCTCCAAACCAGTAGATCTCCATTAGAGGGAGAATAGTACACACGCCCTGCTTTCCATAGTTCTATTCTCTCAAAATTAATTAGTGTATCTAGAGTCTTGTTGTCTGTAGAAAAGATATTTTACGTCATAAAACTTGTCTAAATAAATGAGATTACCTTCAAGAGTGACGGTGTGTCCTTCAGTAGAACTTATTGCAGCCCGGACGACCGGGCTGCTCTATACATATAAATTTAAGTGTTGGTGTATGTTGATTTGGGTGGGAGAAGTTATTCAGAATTAAAGGTTTTCTAATCATGGAAAAGATTGTTAATCAGAATGTTCTTTCCCTTTTTGAATTACGGAATACATAATATATTTACTTCCATAAAGTGAATATGTAAAAATAAATATGTTTTACATGTTTAATGTATAAAGTTACTTATCATATAATATCGTAAAAACGACACATCCCTCTTTTCAGAATATCGAATTTTACTTCTCGCATAAAAACGCACTGTGCATATAGTTCATGTTTTATATTCTAAAATTGAAAATTAATACATTTTTGAATATAAGTGAGACATGTGTCTTACTTCAATTTCTATTTTATGCAGCCAACATTTACATGAGGAATTGATGAAGTTTATAATGGTATCGTTTTTTGTTTGATTTTTTTCCGACTGTAAGTTTTCAAAATATTCGCGACTATCGTCGCCATCAATTAGGCGCATGCCTTTTCACACATACCAAAGCGGTTTGATGATCAAGACTCATTTCCATTGCTTACTTTATATATTTCCCGGGCGACAATTGATGGTTACATCAATATTTACTTGTTGTATTTGTCACAACATGTAGAGGGGCTACTGTTGTGTTTGTCAAGATGATTCGTCCATATCACGTCTCTTGCTACACAGGAAATGTGACGAACCATCATACAGGCATAGGCATGGTTACCGAAACATATAATCGATTAATAATCGATTATTTAGAGGAATTTTGTGTAATCGATTAACAATCAATTACAGTCAGTTTTGTCCTGTTATCAATTGTAATCGATTACTTCAGACAATGTTATCGATTAATACTGAGTAATCGATTACTTTCAATTTCCTTCCACCCTTAAATAAAAAAGAATAAATATTATGCCGTAATGTTAAAGATAACCTCTGAAGTTTGAATGTATAATTTACGCAGTTTGGCCTTAAACCTCAACGCATTTATATTTATGAATTAACAAATTTTACAAATAAACTCCAAAACGGCTGCACAAGAGTTCTTACTCACGCCTGTAGGAATACACTAGGTATAAGATGACTTCCTAAACTATATTCAGATTTCACTCGCATAGTATTTATCGTAAATTTAATTAAAAGTCTACTATCACTTTCGATTAACAGCCTCTAAATGGACAAACACCACCAAATGTCTTCCATAGACTTCCATACAAACTTGAGCCCCTCTCACTGATACATATATTGAATTTCGGGCAAATGGCCTTTTTGTCGTAAAAGTCCGAGATATTGGAAAACAAAACATGCCAGAAAAAATATACCGCCACAACTTTTACTTTTAATTTAAATTTCTTTACAACAAAGTGCGTTTGACACCAAATGAAAATCTAACCACAGTGCCCCCCACCCTTCAAATTTTTACCTGTAACTCCTATATATCAAAAAAAAAAAAAAAAAACAAGTCTTGATATGAGATTTTTATCAACTTTATTTCACTTGTCAAAGACATAACAAGTCTTTTCTCTTATTGACCAATTACGCGCCAGACAGCATTTTCTCCTCCGCACAACTTTGGGTGTCCAAAATGTCTGCACCCATGTATTTTTTTTGTAGGAGTTTTTCCTATAGAGTAATAGAAACATTAATAAAAAGTGGTCAATTTGGTATATTTAGAACACATATCTATTGCTTATCTCACCTGTTGAATATTGGGACTGACAGTTCCAGCTAAAGTACACCATTGGCTGTTACATTTCACACACCAGTCAATCAGACCCACATCTGTGAAACAAGAGATATGTCTATAAATTGAAGCATTTTTTTTCTAATTTTCTTCCCTTCTTTTGAAATAAAATGGTTAATCTAGCATATGTTTTGCTTGTTTTCTTATTATCTCTGAAAATTTCTCAAGATAGGTCATGTTTATCATTCAGGGTAGCAGGTACCCGTTATTAATAAAAAATGAAGAAAATCAACAGTTTTTTGTAAGAAACTGCTGAGTTATAGAAAGAATGAAAACTATTGTAGATAAAATACTCAATGGAAAGAAAGAAAATTATATCTAGTTCAAACATAAGATTGTAAAGAATTTCATCAGCAATGGGTTGCTGGCATCAGAGTACAAATACATCCCCACTGAAACTTTTTAATTTTGAAAGGGGCTGACCTACATTTTAGCCAACTTTCAGGAACATTTCATGTAATTGATGTTAAATATGTATATTCTCATAAAATGCAAATATAATTATTTGTATATCATTTCTTATTATTGACATAGTTGATAAATTGATTAAATGCCAAGGGCAGATAAATCAAATTGTCTGACTGAATACAGTGCTCAATTGTAAGCAAAGTGCTTGAATAACTGCAGTTCTAAGGAAATTTATTTTCTAATAATCTATAAAAAGATCTAAATAACTTAAATATTAAGAGATTAACTAGATTTTCTAAGAAAACCATTCCTTGGAACTCTTAATGAAAGCCAAGAGATCAATTGGAGAGTGTCCATGTGTTGTTCATTGTAAAAGGGTAGGGATCATTAATCTCTTCCTTCTTGAGAATGCATTGCTGAAATAAATTTTATTTTATTGAAACATACTGATAAAGGCATCTAAAAGCTTATGTATTATTTTTTTTATTATTTACAACATATTTGAATTTCTTTTAAGCATTTGTGATGTAATACCTTTAAAATAATCATGTTTAAATAGAATTTACTCAGATAATTATTTTAAAAAATATCAAAATAAAATTGAAAAAAAAAATAACTGCAGATAAGAATGACTCTTGTTATTCAAATAAACCAAATTTAACAAAATTCCTTCATTTTTCAGCATCATTAGAGCACAAAATTACCCCCACCCCTTTTCAGGTGAATATCAAGATTGGATATGGCAAGGAGGAGGGATATTCAGACACCTTTTTCATAATTTTTTCAGTTATAATTTTGCATATTTATTGCATTTTCAATGTATTTTCTGCAAAAACATATAGTACAGGAATTCAAATTAAATTTCCCACTAGTGATCTCTTAGTTTCACCAAAAGTATAACTTTTAATTCAAGCTAGAACTGATTACATGGCTGAAACTGGCTTTGCTGCTGGATTGTGCCTCTTGTGCAAAAAACAAAGTAATCTAATTAGTTAACAGCAGTCAAATTTTAATTAGTCAATCAAATCTGATTAACACAAATTTGAAAGAGAATTACTCAATCTGTTCCAGTGTCTACATTCATAAAATACATGGCTTTGAATGAATTTATCAAACTGCGAGGGGTATATTTAAATGTTTTGTGCATTGATGATGTCCATAAATATTGATATTGTATTATTTACAATATTCACAGGAAATTTCAGCATAAATATTTATTTAAAACTATTTATATGTACATTTATTGAAAATATGAGAGCTAGGGCAAAAAATTTGGCCTTTTTTTTCATTATGTGCAGTCCCCATTGTAAGCCTCAATTTACCCAAACCCTCTAATCTTTTAACAGATAGTAAAAATTAACTAAAATATAATCTCAATGCCAAAAAATAGGAACTGCTTGATTTTTTGACTGTAATCAATGTTTATCCATGAAATCATACCTATTCTATGGAGAAATGAAAACATTAACAAAAAGTGGTCAATTTGGTGTATTTAGAACATATATCTATTGCTTATCTCACCTCCGGAATATTGGGACTGACAGTTCCAGCTTAAGTACACCATTGGCTGTTACATTTCACACACCAGTCAATCAGACCCACATCTGTGAAACAAGAAAAATGTCTATAAATTGAAGCATTTTTTTCTAATTTTCTTCCCTTCTTTTGAAATAAAATGGTTAATCTAGCATGTGTTTTGCTTGTTTTTTCTTATTATCTCTGAAAATTTCTCAAAATAGGTCATGTTTATCATTCAGGGTAGCAGGTACCCGTTATTAATGAAAAATGAAGAAAACCAACAGTTTTTTGTAAGAAAATGCTGAGTTATGGTAATAATGAAAACTAATGTAGATAAAACAATCAATGGAAAGAAAGAAAATTATATTTAGTTCAAATGTACATAAGACTGAAAAGAATTTTATCAGCAATGGGTTGCTGGCATCAGAGCATCAAATACATCCCAACTGAAACTTTTGTAAATTTGAAAGGCGGTGACCTATATTTTAGCCAATTTTCAGGAACATTTTATGAAATTGATGTTAAATATGTATATTCTCTTAAAAAACAAATATAATTATTTGTATATCATTTCTTATTATTGACATAATAAATAAATTGATTAAATGCCAAGGGCATATAAATCAAATTGTCGGACTGAATACAGTGCTCAATTGTAAGCAAAGTGCTTGAATAACTGCAGTTCTGATGAAATTTATTTTCTAAAAATCTATAAAAAGATCTAAATAACTTAAATATTAAAAGATTAACTAGATTTTCTAAGAAAACCATACCTTGGAACTCTTAATAAAAGCAAAGGGATCATCCGAAGAGTTCTCTTCCTTCTTGAGAATGCATTGCTGAAATACATTTTATTTTATTAAAACATACTAGACTGAAAAGAATTTTATCAGCAATGGGTTGCTGAAAAGAATTTTATCAGCAATGGGTTGCTGACATCAGAGCATCAAATACATCCCCACTGAAATTTTGTAAATTTGAAAGGGGATGACCTACATTTTAGCCAATTTTCAGGAACATTTCATGTAATTGATGTTAAGTATGTATATTATCATAAAATGTAAATATATTTATTTGCATATCATTTCTTATTATTGACATAATTAATAAATTGATTGAATGCCAAGGGCAGATAAATCAAATTGTCTGACTGAATACGATGCTCAATTGTAAGCAAAATGCTTGAATACCTGCAGTTTTGAGGAAATTAAATTTCTAATAATCTATCAAAAGATCTAAATAACTTTAATATTAAGAGATTAACTAGATTTTCTAAGAACCTTGGAACTCTTAATGAAAGCAAAGGGATTTATTAAAACATACTAATAAATGCATATAGAAGCTTATGTATTAATTTTTTTACACCATCTTTTGAATTTCTTGTAAGCATTTGTGATGTAATACCTTTAAAATAATCATGTTTAAATAGAATTTACTCAGACAATTATTTTAAAAAATATCAAAGATATTGAAAAAAATAGTTGCAGATAAGAATGACTCTTGTTATTCAAATAAACCAAATTTAAATAGAATTCCTTCATTTTTCAGCATCATTAGAGCACAAAATTACCCCCTCCCCCTTTTCAGGTGAATATCAAGATTGGATATGGCAAAGAGGAGGGATATTCAGACACCTTTTTCATAATTTTTTTCAGTTATAATTTTACATATGTATTGCATTTTCAATGTATTTTCTGCAAAAACATATTGTACAGGAATTCAAATTAAATTTCCCACTAGTTATCTCTAAGTTTCACCAAAAGTATAACTTTTAATTCAAGCTAGCACTGATTACATGGCTGAAACTGTCTTTGCTGCTGGATTGTGCCCCTTGTGCAAAAACAAAGTAACCTAATTAGTTAACAGCAGTCAAATTTTGTTATAAATTAGTCAATCAACTCTGATTAACACAAATTTAAAAGAGGATTACTCAATCTGTTCCAGTGTCTACACTCATAAAACACATGGCTTTAAATGAATTTATCAAACTGCGAGGGGGATATTTAAATGTTTTGTGTATAGATGATGTCCATAAATATTGATATTGTATTATTTACAATATTCACAGTAAATTTCTGCATAAGTATTTATTTAAAACTTTTTACATGTACATTTATTGAAAATATGAGGGCTAGGGCAAAAATTTTGGCATTTTTTAAGTAGGGGCAGTCCCCATTGTGAGCCTCAATTTACCCAAATCCTCTAATTTTTAAACAATTAGTAAACCTAACTGAAATATAATCTCAATGCCAAAAAAATAAGAACTGATTGATTTTTGACTTAAATCAATGTTTATCCATGAAATTATACCTTTACTATAGACTAATAGAAACATTAATAAAAAGTGGTCAATTTGGTATATTAAGAACACATATCTATTGCTTATCTCACCTCTTGAATATTGGGACTGACAGTTCGGGCTTAAGTACACCATTGGCTGTTACATTTCACACACCAGTCAATCAGACCAACATCTGTGAAACAAGAAATATGTCTATATATTGAAGCATTTTTCTATTTTACTTCCCTTCTTTTGAAATGAAATGGTTTATCTAGCATATGTTTTGCTTGTTTTCTTATTATCTCTGAAAATTTCTCAAGATAGCTCATGTTTTCATTCAGGGTAGCAGGTACCCGTTATTAATGAAAAATGAAGAAAATCAGCAGTTTTTTGTAAGCAAATGCTGAGTTATGGTGATAATGAAAACTAATGTAGATAAAATAATCAATGAAAATAATCAGAATTTTATCTAGCTCAAATGTACATAAGACTGAATTTTTTTTTATCAGCAATGGGTTGCTTGCATCAGAGCATCAAATATATCCCCACTGAAACTTTTGTAAATTTGAAAGGGGTGACCTATATTTTAGCCAATTTTCTGGAACATTTCATGTAATTGATGTTAAATATGTATATTCTCTTAAAAAGCAAATATAATTATTTGTATATCATTTCTTATTATTGGCATACTTATGAAATTGATTAAATGCCAAGGGCAGATAAATCAAATTGTCTGACTGAACACAGTGCTCAATTGTAAGCAAAGTGCTTGAATAACTGCAGTTCTGATGAAATTTATTTTCTAAAAATCTATAAAAAGATCTAAATAACTTAAATATTAAAAGATTAACTAGATTTTCTAAGAAAACCATACCTTGGAACTCTTAATAAAAGCAAAGGGAACATCCGGAGAGTGTCCATGTGTTGTTCATTGTAAGAGGGTAGGGTTCATTAATCTCTTCCTTCTTGAGAATGCATTGCTGAAATACATTTTATTTTATTAAAACATACTGATAAATGCATCTAACAGTTAATGTATTGATTTTTTATTATTTACACCATCTTTTGAATTTCTTGTAAGCATTTGTGATGTAATACCTTTAAAATAATCATGTTTAAATAGAATTTACTCAAATAACTATTTAAAAAAAATATCAAAGAAATTGAAAAAAATAATTGCAAATAAGAATGACTCTTGTAATTCAAATAACCAAATTTAAATAAAATTCCTTCTTTTTTCAGCATCATAAGAGCACAAAATTACCCCCTTTTTTCAGCTGAATATCAAGATTGAATATGGCAAGGAGGTGGGATACTCAGACACCTTTTTCATATTTTTTTCAGCTATAATTTTGCATATTTATATATTTGTATATTATATATATTTTCAATGTATTTTTTGCAAAAACATATTGTACAGGAATTCAAATTAAATTTCCCACTAGTAATCTCTGAGTTTCACCAAAAGTATAACTTTTAATTCAAGCTAGCACTGATTACATGGATGAAATTGGCTTTGCTGCTGGATTGTGCCCCTTGTGCAAAAACAAAGTGACCTAATTAGTTAACAGCAGTCAAGTTTTGTTGTAAATTAATTTCATGCATTTGACCAGACCTAGATATAGTTGTGACTGTAACAAAAATATATTGATATAGTTGCATGGTTTTGTTTTTTTTTTTTATGTCAATGAAATGTTATGAAGTCATATTTTTGTCTATTTTTTTTCATGAAGGTGGATTAAACCCGGATTGTCAGAAAATCTTCATAATTTCATAATCAGAGTAATCTAAATAAAATTGAAAGATTAAAAACACTGGTACAGAATGTTTAGGTCTTAATGAGAAGAAATCAACATATGAATTTGATATACATATTTATTCTGATCTCACCCCTGTATGCACTAAGAAAAGAAAACAAAAACACCATTGTGTAGCTACAACAAAGAAAAACTTAACTACTGGAAAGTTATAGAAAACGAGTTACAGCAGGCCAACCCGAGAAAACGATATTAATATGCACTTAGAAATGGAAAACACACACCACTGTGAAGCTACAACAAAGAAACAACTTAACTACAATTTCATCACCCAGTCCAAAGGGAGTTAATCATTTTTATTTTTCTCCTCTCAATATGTATTCATATTCAAAAAAAAAAAATCTCATAATATTTTTTTAAGATTTTCAATTCACTGAACATTGTAAAAATTGGGGTCCTTATATTCTTCCTTATTTTATCTATCCCAGAATGAGTCATTGTTCATTATCAATGACCTTATACTAACCATTGTATGTAATTTGAGGCCTGTCACTTCAGTGTTTTGGAAACGAAATTGAAAGGTTAAAAAACTTGGTTCATAATGTTGTGGTCATTATAAGAATATAATTTACACTTGATTACATACTGATTCTAAGCTTACCCCTCCTTTTGATTGTGTGAAGAAAATCTCAGTTCCTCAGTATGAGGCACTTAGAGAGGAAGAGCAGATGCCCCCTATTTAATTTGTTGACAATTAATTTAAAAAAGAGTCATTCTTTCTGATAACAAATTAAAGCTCAGTCTCGGAAGTCTTAAACAGTATTATCAATAAGCTACATATTTTTTAAAGAGCATTTCAGATCAATTTAAAAAAATAGATCAAGAAGTGTGATGATTTTGAATTTAAACCCCAACATGTTCAAAACAATAAGGGACTGGAAAATGAAACATTTCAAAATTTACCTTCGATGTACAGAAAACATTTCGACAAAATACATCAGGTGGATAGCAGTCTCCATTTTTTTCCTATATATAGAAAATGCTCATGCGGATCAGATACATGTACCAACCTCTCCAGGGGACTAAAAAGCCGAAAGATAGAAGTCCTCTATAGTGCAAGAAAGAAAATGAACATAAAAAGTAAATTTTATTAAAGCATAAAACATGAATGATTTTTTTTAAGTTTCTGAAGTTGTGAAAATGCTCATGCAGATCAGATACCAACCTCTCCAGGGGCCTATATATATAGCTAAAAGATAGAACACCTTTATAGTGCAAGGATGAAAATGAAATAAATTTAAAAATAAAACGTGAATGAAAGAGTAAGATTTTTTAAGTTTCCTACCAAACCTTAAATTTACATATCTCCTACATTGCTGAATGTTAAAAACAATGATCGACATAGTTTGGTAAATGTCATTAATGTACAATATCACATTCATTTAAATATCAATACATGAAAGGTGAAATGTGATATATGCAGGTTATTGACACAAGCAAAATTAGGAGCCCGAGGTCTCAACAATAAGATTTTATCATGTTGAAAGTCTTCTCTGGCTAATCAATCTAAGGGAAGTAACTCTTAGTACTAAAACAGGCCAACCCGAGGAAACGATATAAATATGTACTTAGAAAAGGAAAACACACACCATTGTGAAGCTACAACAAAGAAACAACTTAACTACAATTTCATCTGCCAGTCAAAAGGGAGTTAATCATTTTTAATTTTTTACTCTCGATATGTATTCATTATTCAAAAAGAGTATCTCATAATAACTTTTCAAGATTTTCAATTCACTGAACATTGTAGAAAAAGGGGTCCTTATATTCTTCCTTATTTATCTATCCCAGAATTAGTCATTTTTCATTATCAATGACTTTATACTAACCAGTGTATGTAATTTGTGGCCCGTCATTTCAGTGTTTTGGAGACTGTGACCATCTCAATTGTTGACACCTTCCTGTTGCAACAAGTGTTGTAGGGAATGAATAACTTTTATACATGAGATCAGACCTGGATATAGTTGTGACTGTAATGAAAAACATATTGATGCAATTGCATGCTTTTGTTTTTTTCGGATGTTAATAAAAGGATATAAATTCACATTTTTTGTCAATTTTCTTCAAAAGTGTGGTTTCTCCAAGACTTGAGATTACTCTTAAATTTGATAAATCATAACAAATTAATTAGAATTGAAAGATTAAAACACTGGTTCAGAATGTTTTGGCATTTATAAGACTATAATCTACAACTGATATACATACTGATTTTAATCTTACCCCTCCTTTTGATTGTGTGTAAAAACAAGTCTCAATTCCTCAGTTGGAGGCACTTAGAGGAATAGTAGATGCCCCTATTCCATTTGCTGACAATTTATTTAGGAAAGAGAAAGTCAATCTTTTTGATAACAATTCAAAGCTCAGCCTCGGAAGTCTTGAACAGTTCTATCAATAAGCTACACATATTTAAAAGGCCATTTCAGATCAATTTTTAAAAAAATAATCAAAAATTGCGATGATTATGACTTCAAACCCCAAAATGCTCCACACAATAAGGGGCTAGAAAATTAAACAATGGAAAATTTAACTTCAACGTACAGAAAACGTTTCGACAAAATACATCAGGTGGATAGCAGTCTCCATCTTTTTCGTATATATAGAAAATACTCATGCGGATCAGATACCAACCTCTCCTGGTGCCTAGAAAGCTGAAAGATAAAAATCCTCTATGGTGCAAGGATAAAAATGAACCAGAAAAGCAAATTCAATTTAAGTATAAAACATAAATGAAAGAGAAATTTTTTTAAAGTTCAATATTCAAAAAATTGGGGCCCCTATATTCTTCCTTTTTCATCTATCCAAGCTTTAATCATTTATTATTATCAAATCAATGTATGTAATTTGAGGCCTGTCACTGTGACCATCTCAATTGATGACACCTTCCTGTTGCAACAAGTGTTGTAGGGAATGAATAACTTTCATACCTGTGATCATACCTGGATATAGTTGTGACTGCAATGAACAATATATTGATATAGCTTATGTTAATAAAATGTTATGAAGTCACATTTTTGTCAACTTTTTTTCATAAAGGTGGATTAACCCAGACTATGAGAAAAGTTCCAAAATTTCATAAGCATAGTAAACTAATTGAAATTGAAAGATTAAAAACACTGGTACAGAATTATTTGGTCTTAATGAGAAGAAATGAACCTATGAGTCAGATATACATATTGATTCTTATCTTATCTGTTGTTGATAAAGTGTGTGTAAAAAAGCATTCAGCACGCCAAGTTTGAGGCACTTGGAGAAAAAGCAGGTGCCCCCTATTAAAGCTGTTTACAATTAATTTAGACAAGAGAATGTCAACTTCCATATTAACCTAGCAAAAAATTGCTCAATTTGTAATTTTCAAAAATCTTATAATTTCTTATTTATGTGATTTGTGATCAGACCTGGATATATTTGTCACTCTAATGAATAATAGATTTAAGAATTGCATGTTTTTTTTGTTTTTTGGGTTTTTTTTTTTGGGGGGGGATGTTAATAAAATTTTATAAAGCCACGTTTATTTCACCTTTTTTGAATTTAAAAGAGTAAAGCTAATAAAGTAAAACTGAAAGGTTTTGAAGCTTTCAAAAGTATCAAAGTATCTCTATGTGCAAAATTTGAAAAGCATAGAAAATGAGTTGCATAGTATCAATTTGATGAAACAACATGCACCAAAAAGAGGGAAAATACAGACTTTTGTGAAGCTACAACGAAAAAAAAAATAATCAGAAATTCCTCATTCTGCAGTCAAATGGAAGCAATTCAGTTGCTCACATGCAGATATATGAAGTCAAGACAGGAAAATGGGCTCCTTTTGCTTGACTTCCAAAACAGGCCCTTCCAAGGGCCATACAATAATTCGAACAGATTCCAAAAGTGCAAAAGGTTTAAGAAACTCAATAGAAATGAACACCGGGTCTCAGACCCTACACTTCTATTAATGTGCATATATAAAGCAAAACATAGAAAAACACACATGTACATACACAATACATACATATATTTCTATATACATACAAACATTCATCACAAGAGCAATAAATTGCTTTTTCTTAACTTACTTTCCTCCTCTTGCTCTGGCAATAACACAACCCTAAACTATTTTCAACTTTCATCTCTACCCCTCCCCCTTTGACCTCTTTTGCAGAGAACACAACTCCTCTAAAACCCCCCCCCCCAAAAAGCTTTTGAATATTTTTATTTTTTTCTCTCGATATGTCTTTAATATTCGAATAAATAGCTCATAAGCACTATTCATGACTTTCAAATTCACTAAACATGTTAAAA